CTTCCAGAGGGTAAAGTACTCAGAATGAAATCCCATCTTCGAAGTTGACCCGCCTACAGACAAAAAACAGATCTGTGCAAAATTTTAGCTTCATATCTTAATTCGTTTTGACTGTAGCGTAATTGCAACAGACGGACAGACGGACGGGCAGACAGAGCTAAATCGCCTTGGATCAAGAATATATATACTTTGTTGGGTCTAAAATTATTATTTCGATGAGTTACAAATGGAATGACGAACTTAATATACCCTCCATACTACGTATGGTGGAGGGTATAAAAATTTAAAAGACTTCCTGAATTTGAATTTAAAATTCCAGAGTATTGCCACCTATTTTCCAAAATTTTCACCAGTGTGCATTCTCTTTGTATCCTTTTCCTCTTCCCCCCTCACTACCTCCTTTCCGAGCATTGCTATTAAATATTTATTAAGCCTAACACTAGATTCGAGACTACTTGGCCTTGGCATCATTGAATGGCATTTTTTATGTTTCCCCTTGGAAATCGGCAATAACAATACTTGCCTCCCCCCCGCTCTTGGAGGGGGTATTGAGGAGGCTGGCTGGCTGGCTGGCTAGAGGAATGAAAATTGTTTAATATATCGTAAATATTTCATGACTTGGGGAATGTATTGGTAAATTAATTTGGTTTTTTATGTTCTGAGAACAAATTACAAGTCAATTTAAAATAATTACGTCTCATTAATGAAGTGAAATTGAGGTGTAAATTGTTCGAGCAAGATCAGCACAAGGTTAGACATCAGCAGTGGTGGAAGAGAATTTTGTTAAGAATTTTTGGTTTTTGGAATGTGTTGTATTGCAGGAATGTGGGAAAGGAGGAAGATATCTTGGCTTCCATACAGATAGAGGAATTTTTGAAGGTCCTCGACGGAATTGAGGTTCTTTAAGGATTGATTTTAAGGTCCTTATAGCCTTTTTTAAAGAAAATGTAAATTTTTTTTAAAGGGTCCCTTATTTATTTAAATAAAATCATTGATTTGCTTAAAACAATTAGGGACTTCCCGACCAAAAATCTGGGTCTTATTAAGAAATTTTATTCAAAGATATTTAAATTTTTAATGGAAAAATTTTCTAGGACTTCCAGACCGTTTTCTTAATTTTATAAGACATTTCTTCCTAACCAAAATTTTCAGATTTGTAAAGAAAATAGTTTCAAAGGTTTTTTTCGATTTTTAATAATCATTTACAGGACTATTCGACCAAAAAATCTTGGTTTTTAGAGGAAACTTCTTGTGACTAACGAAAAAAAAAATTTAGATTAAAAAAACAATTTCAATGTCCCCATTTAAATGTGAATAAATCTTTTTTGTTTCGTACCACCGCCCGTTATCGGACCGAGACACTGGTAGCGTAGCCCAGCGTCAATGAGGTGGACGGAAGAAAACAGCAACATCATCAGAAATGATTCGAAAAGTAAAGAAGCGATTTGATCGAAATCTCCGTCGCAGTGGCCGAAAAATGGCTTGTGAGCTGAACATATTGCAATATTCCATTCGGCAAATATTGAAAAAAGAGCTCGGGGTAAAGCCATTGAAATTCCAAAAAGTGCAAGAACTTACACCGCAACAGAAAGAAAATAGACTCAAAAGAGCTAAAGAGTTGCTTCGCTTGGCCAAAAGTGGTGAACTGCCGAATTTTGGTTTCTCCGCTGAGAAAACATTCGTTACCGAGCAGCTTGTAAACAACAGCAACAAACTGATCGTGTTTACTTGCCAAAGAGGTCAGCTAAAAATGAGCACCTTCGGTTGGCCACCAGAACCCAAGTGCCGGCCATGGTGATGGTGTGGGCCGCCATAACAGCCGATGGTCATTCTCCGCTCGTATTAATCACCGTGGTATCAGAATCAGTGCCGAATATTATCGGGAAAATATTCTGGAGGGTGTATTAAAGCCTTGGGCACGTAAGCATTTTGACCGCAGACCTTGGACATTCCAACAGGACTCAGTTCCATCGCAGTCAGCACATGCCACAAAAATGAGGTTCCTCGCCTCATTTCCAGCGCACAATGGACACCAAAATCTCCGGATACCAATCCGTAGGACTATTGTGTCTGGAGTATTTTGGAAAGCAAGGTTGGCACTTAAAAATACCAAAGTGTCGATCACCTCAAGCAAGCACTTCGCCGAGAATGGGCCAAAATACCGTAGAGCAATATTCGAGCAGCGTGCGACGGTTTCATTGGCCGTTTGAAGGCCATAATTCGTGCCAAAATTGACCAATTCGAGCAAATCTAAACTTATTCCAAATTTTGATGCTATTTCCGACAGTTTTTGCTTTCATTTAATAAAATTTAAAAAAGAAAATGTAAAAATTATGACGTTTGACTTTGTTGCAGTTTTTTAATCTCACCCTGTATCTAGATATTTTTTTGAGAAAGAAAAGGATTAAAATTAACAACAGGTTCTTCAAATTTCCATCATTTTTCGTTGAGACTCCTTCAAATGTTTTTACAAATCTACGATTTTCTTTGACAGGAGGCCCTTTCTAAGTATTTCTGTTTAACAGGTGCTCTGCGAAATTGTTTCTATAAAAATCTATGTTTGTTGTCAAAAAGTCCTTACAGAAAAAAAAAATAAACATTTTTGGGCAGGATGTTAAAAAAAATAAATTGAAACCCCTGATTTTTTTCAAGAGATCCTGAAACAAGTTAGTTTTTTAAAAATCTACGATTTCTTGGTCAAAAGGTCCTAATTTTTGTTTTTTTATCAAAAATGTTGGGTTAGGAGGTCCTTGAAAATTCTTAAAATTCTACGATTTTCTTTGACAGGAACTCCTTTCTAGGTCTTTTTTTAACAGGAGCTCTGAGAAATTGTTTCTATAAATATCTAAGTTTTATGCCAAAAGGTCCTTACAGAAAACATCAAAATTTTTGGCAGGATGTCAAAAAAATTAATTGAAAATCTTAATTGTTTTCAAGAGATCCTCAAAACAAGTTAGTGTTTTAAAAATCTACAATTTTTTGTTCAAGAGATCCTACTTTTTTTAATGAAGAATTTTGGGGTAGGAAGTCCTTGAAAATTCTTTAATAAAAAAATCTAGGTTTTTCTAAAAAAATCAGTAATTTTTGGTCAGGAGGTCCTTGAAAAAAATTCCATGAAAATTTACAGATCTTACATTTTTTACATGAGCCCTCAAACAAGATATTATTTTCTCATTTATTGGTCAGGAGGCAGAATTTTTTTTTTTAAATCAAGAATTTTTGGTTAGGATTTCCTTGAAAATTCTACGATTTTCGTTGACAGGATGTCCTTTCTAAGTCTTTTTGTTTAACGAGAACTCTGTGAAATTGTTTTTATAAAAATCTAAGTTTTTTTGTCAAAAAGTCCAACATCAAAATTTTTGGACAGGATGTAAAAAAAAATCAATTAAAATTTTTAATTTTTTTAAGAGATCCCTAAACAAGTTAGTTTTTTAAAAATCTACAATTTTTTTGGGCAAGAGTTCCTACTTTTTTTTAACCTAGAATGTTGGGTAAGGAGGTCCTTGAGAATTCTTAAATAAAAAATTTAGAAATTTCTAAAAAAAACAGATATTTTTGTCAGAAAGTCAATGAAAACAGGTTACTTTAAATCAGTCATTTTTGGTCAGGAGGTCCTTGAAAAAAATTCCATGAAAATTTACAGATCTAACATATTTTACATGAGCCCTCAAACAAGTTAATCTCTTTTTTAATTTTCGATTTATTGGTCAGGAGGCAGATTTTTATATTTAAATCAAGAATTTTTGGTTAGGATTTCCTTCAAAATTCTACGATTTTCTTTGACAGGATGTCCTTTCTAAGTCTTTTTGTTTCATAGGAACTCTGTGAAATTGTTTCTATAAAAATCTAAGTTTTTTTGTCAAAAAGTCCAACATCAAAATTTTTGGACAGGATGTCAAAAAATATCAATTGAAATTTTTAATTTTTTTAAGAGATCCTCAAACAAAGAGGTCCTTGAAAATACTTAAAAAAGAAATCCAAATTTTTCTAAAAAAAACAGATTTTTTTGTCAGAAAGTCAATGAAAACAGGTTCTTTAAATCAGAAATTTTTGGTCAGGAGGTCCTTAAAAAATAAAATAAAAATTTACAGATCTTCCATTTTTTACATGAGCCCTCAAACAAGTTAATTTCTTTTTTATTTTCCGATTGATTGGTCAGGAGGCAGAATTTTTTTAAATCAAGAATTTTTGGTTAGGATTTCCTTTTTTTTTTTAAATCTACAATTTTTGATCCAGAGTTCCAATTTTTTAATCAAGAATGTTGGGTAAGGAAGTCCTTGAAAATTCTTAAATAAAAAATCTAGGTTTTTCTACAAAGAAAAAAAATAAACAGAGTTTTTTTGTCAGAAAGTCAATGAAAACAGGTTCCTTAAATCAGTAATTTTTGGTCAGCAGGTCTTTGAAAATAATTACAGATGAAAATTTACAGATCTTACATTTTTTACGTGAGCATTCCAACAAGTTATTTTTTTATCTGCGATTAATTGGACAGAAGGCAGCATTTTTTTAAATCAAGAATTTTTGGTTAGGTTGTCCTTGAAAACTCGTTGTCAGAATTTTTTGTCAGAAAATCAATGAAAACAGGTTCTTTAAACGTTCATCATTTTTCGAATAAGCTAAAATTTTTTTTTTCAAAATATCCTTAGAAAAGCTTCTTAAATAAATCCACAATTTTTTGTCAGGAGATCCTTGAACAAATGTTCTCTAATTTCGCCATCTTTAGTTTTTTTTTTATTCAACAATTTCAAGGACATCCTACCCAAAAATTCTTGATTTAAAAAATAGGACTTCCTGACAAAAAATATTGTTTTTTAAGTAAGGTCTTTTTGACTTTTTGATTTTTGGATATGAGGACATCCTGGCCATCCTGGTGGTATATGAAATTATTAAAAAAAAATATTCATAACTTTATGTCAGGACCAAATTTTCTTTAAAAAATCCACCATTCCTTAAAACTTCCCGACAAAAATCAAAAACGTTTGTTCTTCTTTTCTTTGCAGGTATTTTTGTTGGCACATTGTGATGACAATAGTCTCTATGTCAGGACCCTAGCAACCGGCAAGGAGCTTTACACTCTAAAGGGTCATAAATCTAGGGTAAGTTGGAAATTCACCAAAAAATTCCCATCTAAGGGACAGTGATCGAAAATTCACATTTTCATTCCGTAATTCCCATTTCCCCTCTCCCTCTCTTAGATACGCACCATTTCCATAGCCCGCGACAGTCAACGAGCCGTGGTCGGCTGTGAAGATACCCGAGCACTGATCTACGACATGCATTCGGGACGTTTAATACGATCAATGCCCCCAAATCCAGGACCCGTTACCGCCCTCTATGCCATGGACAATGATGACTTCCTCATAACGGTGGGTGGCAACAAAATCACCTTCTATTCGTTCCGCAACGAAGAGCTTTACGTCCATCCCTATTCGCACAATCAGAAGCGAAAGCGTTCGCTGAAGCGGGCCACCCAGACACAGCGCTCACCCTCGACCACATTGCCGCCGATTACGTGTTTCGATGTGTCGCGGGACTCCCAGCTGGTGGCCATAGCCTCCGGGCGTCATGTGCACATAATGCAAATCAATACCCCCGAATATCAGACCACCTACGATGGACATGCGGCGCCAATTACCTGTTTGATGTTTGCCCCCAATGGAGAGTATCTGGCCACCGGGTCCGATGATCGCATGGTCCACGTTTGGAGTTTGGCAAGTGGTTCCATAGCCAATACCTTCAAGGGTCATGTGGCGCCCATATGCAGTGTGGTTGTCCTTATGGATTCACGCCGTATCATGTCCTCGGATCGTGATGGTCTGATCTATGTCTGGATGTCGGTTGGTGGAAATCTGTTGCAGACCATCCAGGGACCCTACAAATTCCTGGCAGCCACAAATAACATGAAATTTGCCGTGTCCACAAATGGCGATAATACACTCAAGATATGGTCCCTGACGCGGGAGGATGAAAAGTACTCGGTCTCACATTCCGATGAGATTACCTGTTTCACCATCACCGCCGATAGTTTGTACATTATAACTGGTTCGCGGGATATGTCGCTAAAGGTGTGGCAGGCCACAGGGGGGAAATTGGCACAAGTTTTGGTGGGCCACTCGGATGCAGTGACCTGTGTGGCAGTGTCGGTGACAAATAAAACCCAGGTCACGTCGGGTTCGAAGGACACAAATTTAATTATCTGGGATCTGCATACCGGCGAAGAGATCCACACCCTGGCAGGTCATTTGGCCCCCGTAATTGGTGTTAAAGTTTCGGCAGATGGTTCTACCGCCGTATCGGGTAGTGATGATAAGACTCTCATTGTATGGGAGACGAAGAGAGGTCTGGCTTTGACCTCGTTGCAGCTGCATGTACCCTTCCCCCGCTTCGATATTAGCATGGATTGTTCGAGGATATTGGTCCAGCTGGTGGATAGCTTCAATTTACCCGTTATATGTCTTCATAACACCCCGGCTCAGTATATCAAGTTGCCCACGTATTCAGCACCCGCCCGTGATGTGGAAGGTAAGTTGTAGGGGGGAATGACATGTCCTTTGTGCAAGAGAGGAGGGGATTGAAGGGGGGTGAGATAGAGAGAGAGAAAGGGCGAAAGATAGGGTAAGAGATGACCTTATAATGTGTTCCTATAAAAAGGATAAGTTGCTTAGGTTCTCTACGCACCGATGGAAGGACAGTAGGACGTGAAGATGAAGATTTGAGCAACATCCTCTATCTGAAGATTTGTGTGAGGCCCTCTATCTACAGAAGGCCTTTGGAAGGTATTCTACCAACCGAAAACTCTGGAAGCCATTCTGTGATTCCCCTGTCAATGAAAGGCCTGTGGAATGTATTTAGTGAAGATTTGTGGAAGTTATTCTGTGAAAGGTATTCGTCTTCGAAGTATTGAAGAACTATGGAAAGTATTTTGTGAATAGCGCTCTGTCTATAGATGATCTGAGGAAGTTGTTCGATATTTAGAAGACCTGACCGGTCAACTGAAGACGTGTGGAATGCATTCTATCCTGTGGATCATAATCTGTATATAGAAAACCTGTGGAAGGTATTCGGTATATGAAAGAACCGTAGTAGCTAATCTGTCTATAGAAGATCCGTGCAAGGTATTCTTCCCATAAAAGATTTGTGGAAGATATTCTCTCTTCCTATGGCTGTAGAAGGTATTTTGTCCATCGAAGACCTGTGGAAGGTATTTTGTCCATAGAAGACCTGTGGAAGGTGTTCTGTCTATAGAAGACCTGTGGAAGGTGTTATATCTATAGAAGACCTGTGGAAGGTGTTTTATCTATAGAAGACCTGTGGAAGGTATTCTGCCTATAGAAGGCCTGTGGAAGGTATTCTGTCTATAGAAGACCTGTGGAAGATGTTCGGTTTATAGAAGGCCTGTGGAAGGGGTTCTGTCTACAGAGGACCTGTGGAACGTAGAAGACCTGTGGGAGGTGTTCTGCCTATAGAAGAAGGTTAAAGGTATTCTGTCCATAGAAGACCTGTGGAAGGTTTTCTGTCCATAGACGACCTGTGCAAGGTATCCTGTACATAGAATATCTGTGGTATGTATTCTGTCTATAGAGGACCTGTGGAAGTATTCTGTCTTCTTATGACTGTGGAAGGTATTCCGCTCATAGAAGACCTGTCGATGCTTTTCTGTCCATAACAGACCTGTGAAAGGTATTGTGGCCTTTGAAGACTTGTGGAATGTATTCTGTTTATATGACTGTGTCCATCGGAGACCTGTGTTTGTCTTTCAAAGACGTGTGGAAGGTATTTTGTCTATAGAAGAACTGTAGAAACTATGCCGACTATAGAAGGCATGTGGAAGGTATTCTGTCGATGGAATACTTCAGGAAGCTATTCTGTCTTCTTATGACTGTGGAAGGTATTCTGTCCATAGAAGACATGTGGAGGGTATTATTTCTATAAAAGACCTGTAGAAGGCTACTTTCCATATAAGAAGCGTGGGAACTATTCTATGTGTAGGTGACCCGTGGAAAATATTCAGCTTATAAAAGATTTCGGGAAGGTATTCTATCCATAGAAGCCCTGGCAAAGGCCTCTATCCAAAATAGGTCATATCTCGGCTGGAGTAACCTTCTCCTTACTGGCCATTCTTCACAATGATCCTGATTACATTTACTTTCCTCCCTCTTCAGATTTACGACCCCAAGGCCCCAAGCGACAAATGAAACGCCTCCTCAAGAAGGAAGTTTCGCTGGACACCTATACCTGGCAAAAGAAATACGGACATTTGACCGCATCGGTGATGATGGCCCAGGTGGATGAGCGGTTAAAACGACGATTCTCCGTGTCGGCCAGTATGGAAGAGATTTCGAAAATTGCCGAAATGAAAACGATAACATCCCAAACGAATTTGGGTCCCGAACAGGCTGCCCTCGCCCAGTCACAGCATTTCGATCAATTGGAGGCATTGTGGAACAAAAGGTCACCGCCGCGTAGAAGACATAATGCGGTAAGTGGAGTCTCTCAAATTCTCCTTAAATACCTAACTATATCCATAAATAAACGCTTTGTAGTAGCAATTGAAAGCATTTTTGAACAAAACAAAAAAAAAACTTAAGGTAAAAGCTTTGTAGTGTAAACTGGAAAAACAGTAACTAAACTTGTAGATTGTACAACAACAACATATGATATTGCGCATATTTTTTGTGATGTCTGATAATTTCAATTTTTTTTTGGTTTTTGATTTTTGAAAAATATATAAACTCAAATAAATAAAATTATCTCTAGAATCTAGTAAGCTCCCTAGGTGGAGTGTCTTGTTGCTTAATAAAATATTCGAATAATGGTTAATGGATAATCGAATACTTGAATGATGATGATGATGCTGAGAATTAACTGCTTCAATGTCTAATGAGTTTCAGTTTTGTCGTCTCTTGTGTTTGTCTCGTTCCTCAGTTTCTTTAGTTTGTGATTTGTTGGACACAAAGCTTTCACCGTAATAAAAGTTTTCCGATTTTAAACTTTTTTGAGTTCCGATATTGAACACATTGGGCAATAAGGCGGAATAATTTCGAAGAGCGACCTTGACTTAGTATGTCCTTTATTTGCTTTAAAAAATTATATTAATATATCCATGACTTGGATAGTCCTTGAAAAAAAAATTAAAAAATGCATGCTTTTTAAAAAATCCATATCCTTAACTTTTTTCAAAAAATCCTTGATTTTAAAAAAACCGGGTCCTTGAAATTATTTTTAAATACAAGCCCACAAAAAAAATATTTTAAAAAAAAATCTAAACTCTTAAAAATTATATTATATAAATATCCTTCAAAAAAAAATATTTTTAAAAAATGCAGTTTCTTGAAATAATATTTTCGACAAATTTGGGACTTTGAAATAATATTTAAATCCAGGTCCTTGGAAGAAATCTTTGAATTTTAAACAATCAATATCCTTTAAAAATTATTTTTAAAAAATCTAGGCTCTTGAAAATTATTTTTTTTAAATTCATTTCCTTAAAATTTTTTTTTTTTAAAATCCATGTCCTTTGAAAAATATTCTTAAGAAATTCAGGTCCTCAGAAAGTATTTTTAAAAAAAACCCATATCCTTGAAAAACGTTTTTAAGATATACAGGTCCTTTGAAAATATTTTTAAAAAATCCAGGCCCTTAAAAAGTATTTTTAAAAAAATGCATGTCCTTAAAAATATTTTTTTAAAAATTCAGGTTTTTTAAAAATATTTAAAAAAAATAATGTTTTTGAAAAATATTTTTTTAAAACATCTTCTTGAAAAAATATTTTAAAAAATTCGTTCTTAATTGTCCAAAAAAAAGTATTTTTAAAAAACTCACGTCCTTGATTGTCCTTTAAAAAATGGTTTTTGCAAAAATATCCTTGAAAAACGTTTTTAAGATATACAGGTCCTTTGAAAATATTTTTAAAAAATCCAGGCCCTTAAAAAGTATTTTTAAAAAAATGCATGTACTTAAAAATATTTTTAAAAAATTCAGGTTTTATAAAAATATTTAAAAAAAATTATGTTTTGAAAAATATTTTTTTAAAACATCTTCTTGAAAAAATAATTTAAAAAATTCGTTCTTAATTGTCCAAAAAAAGTATTTTTAAAAAATTCACGTCCTTGATTGTCCTTTAAAAAATGGTTTTTGCAAAAATATTTTTAAAAAATCCACGTCCTTAAAAAACAATTTTTAAAAAATCCACGTCCTTAAAAAACAATTTTTAAAAAATCCACGTCCTTAAAAACAATTTTTAAAAAATCCACGTCCTTAAAAAACAATTTTTAAAAATCCACGTCCTAAAAAACAATTTTTAAAAAATCCACGTCCTTAAAAAACAATTTTTAAAAATCCACGTCCTTAAAAAACAATTTTTAAAAAATCCACGTCCTTAAAAAACAATTTTTAAAAAATCCACGTCCTTAAAAAACAATTTTTAAAAAATCCACGTCCTTAAAAAACAATTTTTAAAAAATCCACGTCCTTAAAAAACAATTTTTAAAAAATCCACGTCCTTAAAAAACAATTTTTAAAAAATCCACGTCCTTAAAAAACAATTTTTAAAAAATCCACGTCCTTAAAAAACAATTTTTAAAAAATCCACGTCCTTAAAAAACAATTTTTAAAAAATCCACGTCCTTAAAAAACAATTTTTAAAAAATCCACGTCCTTAAAAAACAATTTTTAAAAAATCCACGTCCTTAAAAAACAATTTTTAAAAATCCACGTCCTTAAAAAACAATTTTTAAAAAATCCACGTCCTTAAAAAACAATTTTTAAAAAATCCACGTCCTTAAAAAACAATTTTTAAAAAATCCACGTCCTTAAAAAACAATTTTTAAAAATCCACGTCCTTAAAAAACAATTTTTAAAAAATCCACGTCCTTAAAAAACAATTTTTAAAAAATCCACGTCCTTAAAAAACAATTTTTAAAAAATCCACGTCCTTAAAAAACAATTTTTAAAAAATCCACGTCCTTAAAAAACAATTTTTAAAAAATCCACGTCCTTAAAAAACAATTTTTAAAAAATCCACGTCCTTAAAAAACAATTTTTAAAAAATCCACGTCCTTAAAAAACAATTTTTAAAAAATCCACGTCCTTAAAAAACAATTTTTAAAAAATCCACGTCCTTAAAAAACAATTTTTAAAAAATCCACGTCCTTAAAAAACAATTTTTAAAAAATCCACGTCCTTAAAAAACAATTTTTAAAAAATCCACGTCCTTAAAAAACAATTTTTAAAAAATCCACGTCCTTAAAAAACAATTTTTAAAAAATCCACGTCCTTAAAAAAAATTTCTAAAAATCCACGTCCTTAAAAAACAATTTTTAAAAAATCCACGTCCTTAAAAAACCATTTTTAAAATATCCACTTCTTAAAAAAATAATTTTTAAAAAATCCACGTCCTTAAAAAAAAATTTCTAAAAAATCCACGTCCTTAAAAAACAATTTTTAAAAAATCCACGTCCTTAAAAAACCATTTTTAAAATATCCACTTCTTAAAAAAATAATTTTTAAAAAATCCACGTCCTTAAAAAACAATTTTTAAATTTCTTAAAAAACAGTTTTTAAAAAATCCACGTCCTTAAAAAACAATAGTTAAAAAATCCCCGTCCTTAAAAAACATTTTAAAAAATCCACGTCCATAAAAAAATATTTTTAAAAAATCAACGTCCTTAAAAAAATTTAAAAAAAAATCCACGTCCCTAAAAACCATTTTTAAAAAATCCACGTCCCTAAAAACCATTTTTAAAAAATCCACGTCCCTAAAAAACCTTTTTTAAAAAATCCACGTTCTTAAAAAACTATTCTGAAAAAATCCACGTCCTTAAAAAATAATTTTTAAAAAATCCACGTCCTTAAAAAACAATTTTTAAAAAATCCACGTAATTAAAAAACAATTTTTAAAAAATCCACGTCTTTAAAAAACAATTTTTAAAAAATCGACGTCCTTAAAAAACATTTTTTAAAAAATCCACGTCTTTAAAAAACAATTTTTAAACAATCCACGTCCTTAAAAAACAATTTTTAAAAAATCGACGTCCTTGTTTGTCGCCCTTGAAAAACTAGTTTTAAAAAATCCACGTCCTTGTTCGTTGTCATTGAAAAACTATTTTTAAAAAATCGACGTCCTTGTTTGTCGCCCTTGAAAAACTAGTTTTAAAAAATCCACGTCCTTGTTCTTTGTCATTGAAAAACTATTTTTAAAAAAAATCCACGTCCTTGTTTGTTGTCCTTAAAAAAATACTTTTTAAAAAATCCACGTCCTTGATAGTCGTCCTTGAAAAACTATTTATAAAAATTCACATCCTTGATTGTTATTCTTAAAAATATATTTTTAAAAAATCCACATCCTTAATTATTGTCATTGAGTTCTTAAAGCTATGTTTCTAAAAATTCCACGCCTTAATAATCATTGACAAAATATTTAAAAAAATCCAAGTCCTTGCTAAATCTTGAAAAAATAGTTTTAAAAAACCAAGTCTATGTTAAGCCTTGAAAGAATATATTTAAAAAATCCACGTCCTTGGTAGGCTTTGAGAAAATATTTTTAAAAAATACCTTTTTTTTTAAATTCAGGTTCTTTCTAATCTTTGAAAAAATATTTTATATAAAATCCATGTCCTAAATGATCCTTAAAAATATTTTTAGAAATTGTGGCTCAGTGTTATTATGAAGTTTTATTGCCCCAGATTTTTATGTTCATATCTATATAAAATAAACATATAATATTGCCAATTTATTTATATAATTGACAAAAAAAATATTAGAAATATATAAAGAAAAAACTCTTTTTGTTTTACATTCTGTTTTTTGGCTTCAATATTTTTTTTTTTCGTTTCTTTCCTTTCCCTATTTCTGGAAACCAAAATAAACAATGTTAAACAAATGGATTAACACCCACAAATACACACTTGCACCTCTATGTCAACAACAACAACAACACTACTACGAAATATGTTTGCAAAATTTCAAAACTCAACAAATTCGGCCCACCACAACAACAAAAACAACAAAACACATGAAACACCAATACCACCACACAACTAACCAACCAACCCACCCAACCAACAGGGTCTCTCGAGACAGACTTCATTGGTCGAGGATCGTCTGGAGAGTTCGGATGACGATGACTATCACGATGAGCGCACAGGTATGTTGTCAGCATCCTACGATCAAATCCATAGATTAGCCCTACCGAACTCAAGCATGCCCACACCGCCACCCTCACCAACTCCGGCACGTTTACGGCCCGTTTCTATGCACGCATGGATCACCAGTAGTTACAAGGCACTAAATTTCCATAGCAATCACAACAACAACAACAACAACAACAATCATCACAATCAAAAACAACAACAACAAAAACTCCATACCAACAACCAAAATTGTAGCAACAACCGTACCCCACCTCCCTCACCCCATCATCGCAATCATAAAACTCAGAATCTGGCTACATCCCAGAATTCCCATCTTAGTACCCCCAAATCCCCCCACCACCAGCAGCAACAACAACACCATGTCCATCACACTGCTACCCAAACTCATTATTCGATGACCTCTCAAAATCTCAATGGGCGGGGAAAATCCCATCAACAGACCCCCGATTTGGTGCAGGATATCGAATGCAATTTCCAAGATACCCTGGCCCAGGATCGTCGCCAACGTTTGCGTAGCTTTTTCCGTTGGCGCAGTCTTAAATCCCGGCTAATGGCCACACGTCAGTGTCAGTCATTGCAACCCCATACCTTGAATAATCTCAATGTACCGAAAATGGTGGAGACACAAACCCAGACGGCAAAGCCGGTCTCTCGAAACTCCAGTCACTCAAAACTCCAAAACAAAGTCCCCACCCCCATTATAATTGTGGAGAATTACGATTCACGCATTGTGAAGCGGGTTCACACCCAGTTAGTGTTACATCCTCGCAGTACACAGGCCACCTGGGGCCACATGGCCAATGAGGTGAACACCCATTCAACGAAAATTGAATATCAAAATATCAGCAACAATAACAATAATGATGTTGAAAATCTCTCCAACATGAATTCGAGTAGTATTTGGTCGCGCAAATGGCATTTATGGAAATCGAATAGGTCCACTTCCCATGTAGCTCCCATGCAGGAGGTCCAACCTGATGAGGAGAGCAATACATCATCGTTGCTAGCCAACGATGGAGGCTTTTGTGGTTCGGCCGCACGAAGTCGTAACAAAAATAAGAGTTCCTCCTCCAACACGAATACAAGTTCGAATAGTTCCAATTGTATAACGCAATAGTTCCTCAGTCGCCAAATTGCACTCTTCTCGCAGTAATTAACATTTCTTTCTACTTAGAGAGAGAGAGTGAGAGAGTTTAAGGTTCAATACTTAGATCAGAAGGTAGATTATTATTATTTCAAATTACCTCCCGGACCTTGAAAAGGCTTTATAACACGAAGATTTAGAAAAGAGAGAGAGAGAGGAAGAAGTAGGGAAATAGATATAACATTGTAGACTCATTGAAGATATTCCATTTGCAGAAGCCCCTGAGATCCTCCTTTCTAGGGATCTGCTTTACATAGAAGAATGAAATGAGAGATATTTAAAGTTTTCCATGAAAAAGAAAATTTCCATAGAATAGAAATTCTCAAGAAGGTTTACCGAAATCCTTCCTTAGATGAACTACAAAAACTCCTCGAAACAATATCTTTGCCCAAATCCACGTCCTTGAACAAATATTTTTGAAAAAAATTTCACGTCCTTAAATATATTTAAAAAAATCCAGGAGATCTTCCATAGATAGAAGGTCTTTTAATTGTTTATTTTTTAAAAAATCCATGTCCTTGATAGTACTTGAAGAAATATTTTTAAAAAATCCACTTCCTTGAAAAGATATTTTCAAAAAAATCCACGTCCTTGATAGTCCTTGAAAATATATATTTAAAAAAATCACGTCCTTGATAGTCCTTGAAAATATATTTTTAAAAAAATAACGTCCTTGATAGTCCTTGAAAATATATTTTTAAAAAAATCAAAAAAAGGACTATCAATCCTTGAAAAGATATTTTGTAAAAATTCACGTCCTTAATAGACCTTAAAAAAATATTTTTAAAAAATCCACATCCTTGATGGAACTTAAAAAATATTTTTAACATTTTTTTAAATCCACGTCCTTAATAGCTCTTGACAATTGTTTTTTTTTTTAAATCCACGTCCTTGATAGCTCTTGACAATTGTTTTTTTTTAAATCCACGTCCTTGATAGTTCTTGACAATTGTTTTTTAAAAATCCACGTCCTTGATAGCTCTTGACAACTGTTTTTTAAAAATCCACGTCCTTAAAAAAATATTTAAAAAAAAAACACGTCCTTGATAGTCCTTGAAAAAATGTTTTTAAAAAAACACGTGCTTGAAAAAATTTTTTTTTAAATTACGTCATTGATAGTCCTTGAAAAAATATTTTTAAAAAAACACGTCCTTGAAAAAAAATTTTTTTTAAATTACGTCAATGATTGTCCTTGAAAAAATATTTTTAAAAAATCCACGTCCTTGCTAGTCTTTGAAGTTTTCCTTTTAAAAAATTCAAGTCCTTGAAAAAATATTTTTAAAAAATCCAGGTCCTCGGCTTTCCTTGAAAAAATACTTTTAAAAAATCCAAGTCCCTAAAAGATAATTTTATAAAAAAAACCACATCCATGAAAAAAGGATCAGAGATCGTTTAAAGCCCAGAAGAGCTTTTCAAAGCTTCTCCATAGAATAGAATTTATTTTAAATTTTGTCAGTATAATAGAAGGACTGTCAAAGCCCCTTCTAGAGGGTGGTAGACCTTGCAAGTTCTTTTGTAGAATAGTATAGCTTTCAAATACTATAGAATAGTATAGCTTTCAAATATTATTTCTATAGAATAGAATGACTTCCAAACTCAGTTAGGACTTTCAAAGGTCTTCTACAGAAACTATGACCCCAAAAATAGAAGAGCTCTCAAAGCGTAAACACTTTAAAAATAACCCTATAGAACAGAAAATGCGTCCTTCTTAGAAGAATAAAAAAACATTAAAAATCTCTATATACCAAGATAGAGGCTAGATAGGAGAGCCTATCACAGACAGCAGACTTTTCTAGGTTGTCAACTGATGTATAACTTTCCATCTCTCATCAGGGTCTTAACAGCTTCAAAAGATCCCCTACATATACGAAGAACTTGGTTTGATGGAACTTCTTCTTTTGGTCTCTTGGAAATGCCAGTCAGGAAAATACACCCGCAATTTCACTCACCCTCTCCCTTACTATCCCTCTCTCTCTCCTTACCCTAGTAATTGAGAATCTAAATCACTTATGTCCTCTTTGATTCTCAAGTGATATTGTTAAGGAGGCGCAAGAGTGTATCATGCCACTACTCATGCATATTTTGTGAGCACCATTGACAGATACCCAACTCGGAGTTGCAGTTATTCATCTCTGAAATATGATTTGATAAATTTTCATTCTTCCTGTCTGAATTGGAACACGATTTTCTTTCCCCTCCCATTTTTCTACTCTTTTACTAATTGCAATACTTACACACAGTAACATTCTCTCCTCCTTACTTTCTCTCTTATCACAGTTATTATGTTGAGTAATCAGTAAAAACAATGTAGTCAAAATGTTTTCTCTTTGAAATGTTAGTCGTACAGCATGGCACATGTTCTTTACTCTCTCTCTCGTTCACTCTCTTTTAATTGTAATTTATACATTTATATGTTGTTGTTTGTATGATAACTGATATGGAGAATTGTAAATTTTTGTTTCCATTTTTATTTTGTATCCCTAAAAAAAAAAGAATTAAATATGTAAAATTATTGAAAAAAGTAGAAGTGAAGAAATTAAATTTTTGGTATTGGTATTTCGAAAAATTGTATTTTGTTGGTTTTTGTGTGTTTTATTTTTTTGGTCAATTGCTGAGTTCCGAAAGGTAAGTATGGTAAAAGAGTGAAAAAAAATGCCCAAAAGTTGGAGAATATTTACTTTTTTAGCATGATTGAGCTCACTCCTTTGGGCAAAGTAATTAACCAACCCAACTCAAGCAACAACAAAACAAGGTAAATGGAGAACAAGGAACAGGAGAAAAACGAATCGTTTGAGTTTGAGAGCAACAATTTCCTAATTTACTGGTACGAGAAATCTCGGCCAAAAGTGGGATCTTAGAAAAAAAATTATTTAAAATTAGAAACCAATAAAGAAAGCTCAAAAGTCAGGCGGGGCCGACTTTATGATACCCTACACTCTCGTAATATAAAGGTTTATATTGGGTATTTCTCTATGAGATGTCTGGCGCAAAATATGATTATGGTAAAGATGGAATTATGGAAGTGGAACTTTTCACACACATTGGGCTGAAATTAGCCATTTGGTGCACAAGATACATAAAATCGGACGAATATATATAAGGAAGCTATATTTGCAAATCTGATCCGATCTTGATAAAATTTGAATCATGTATTGCTAGGATAAATCTAATATCTGGTACCAAATATCATTTTTATGGGGTGTATTACGAATATGAGGTATTTAAACACAAAAATCGGATGAAATATATATATATATATATATATGGGAGCTGTATATATAAACCGATTTTCTCCAAATCCGATGTAATTTCTTTTAGCCTGAATTCGGTCGGATGTACCAAAATTCAGGACTTTTTGAAAGATATTGGCTATTTGGTGCACAATTAACCCGAAATCGGTTGAAGATATATATGGGACCTATATCTAAATCTGAACCGATCATGATAGAATTTGGCAAAGGTATTTCTGGGCTATATCTAATAACTGGCACCAAATATCATTCTTCTGGAGTGCATATTACGAATATAAGGGACTTAAACACCAAAATCGGATGAAACATATATATGGGAGCTAAAGCTATATCTGAACCGATTTTCACCAAATTTAAAGCAAAATTCACACCATTTGGACTGATGTAAGCTATTTCTTCCACAAAAAACCTATAATCGGATGAAGATATATATGACAGCTATATGTAAATTTGAACCGATTTTCACCAATTTCAATAGGGCTCGACCTTGAGCCAAATAAAAAAGAACTGATTTAAGAGCTGGTTTTTCTCTTTTTAAACATTTATACTCCGACCTATAGAACTTCTATTGTCCATAGAAGATCTGTTGGGCTTGACCTGTAGGCCTTCTATTGTCTATGGAAGAACTGTAGGCCTGCAATTATTCACAGGCCTATAGAAGGCCTACTGGTCTATTTTCCATAGAAGACTGTTATTATCCACTGAAGACTTAGAGGCCTGCTATTATCCATAAAAGATTTAAAAGCTCGTTTTCTCTCTCTCTCTCTCTCTCTTTCAACATTTATATTCTCAAGATGAGTATTGAAAACTCCTTTTTAATTTTTCGAAGAAATTTTAAAGATGAAGAACTTTAAATATCCTAATTTTTCATAGAAGGGCTTTGAAAGCCCTCCAATTCTATCGATGATTTTAAAAATGGCCTTTTTTATATACGACCTTTCGAAAGCCCTTCAATCCCAGAGGGATTTAAAAAACTCACTTTCCATAGAAGCCTTTTAATACTTTTCAAAATCTATTCTCATGGAAAATCAACAGATTGATTTGATTGATTCCATTTCCATGAGAACACCTTTTGAAGGGTCTTGTAAAGTATTAACATAAATCTTAATATGGAACATTCTGCAACTGAAGAAGACTTTTCAAATGACGTTTCTATATGCAGAATTTTTTGGACAAGAACTCTCCTTCCACTTCGTCACACGCTGCCCGAATTTTCTTCAGCGGTATTTTGGCCCATTCCCGGCGAAGCGCTTGCTTGAGGTGACCGACACTTTGTTCTTTTTTTGCCAGAGAAAAACAAATTCGGCAGATCACAACTTTCGGCCAAGCGAAACAACACTTTACCTCTTTTGAGTCTATTTTCTTTCTGCTGCGGTGTAAGTTTTTGCACTCTTTGGAATTTTAATAACTTTGCCCCGAGCTAATTCTTCAATATCTACCGAATGGAATATATGCTTACGGGCCATTTTTCGGTCACTGCGACGCGGGTTTCAATCAAGTCGCTTCTTTACTTTTCGAACCATTACTGCTGATGTTGCTGTTTTCTTCCGTCCTCCATATGAACACAAAATACTTATTCACATTTAAATGCTGGAGTGCTCTAACGATAGCCTCTTGTGGTTGTCCAGCCAAATATTAAGAAATCACCCTTTTACGCTTAAATTTCATCACGAATAACTTTTTTTCTGGAAAATTCTCACCAAAATGCTTTTGTACGCTTGTAAACAATATAATGAACTGTCACTGGAATAATTTTAACAGCTGTCGGACGTTAGTTGAAGTTTTTTCATTCCGATTTCAGTTATTTTTTGTGTACCAAAATGGCCAACATTAGTCCAAATGACCTGAATTTTGGCACATTTGACCAAATTAAGTCCATAAGCAAGTACTTAAAACTTGATGAGAATAGCTTCGGATATAGCTATAGCTCCCATATATATGTTTCATCCGATTTGGGGTTTTAAGACCCTCACATGCGCAAGAATGATATTTGATACCTGACATCAGATGCAGCTCAAAAATACTTCTGTCAAATTTTTTTGAGATCGGATCGGATTTTTATATAGCTTCGATATACATCTTTTTAGGATAGGAAG